CCCATTGCGGTGCCCTCTGCGCCCACCAAGAACTTGCAGTTTTCAAGCCACTTCTGGAACTGGAAGAGCAACTGGGAGACCATCTTTTGTCTTTTAAATCAGAAAAAAAAATGAATGAAATAAAATTTAGAAGTGCAGATTTTTTTCTCAGAGTATTTCCTGGCACTCAGAGGTAACCGTGTAGCCCTGTCCGGTTTTCTGCATGAACACCAATCCAATTCCTAGCTGCATTTTTTTTTTCTGAAAAATTAAACAAGAGGGCATCATAAACTGAGATGTTGCTTTGCTGACAAAATAAATATAAGAAGCTTTTCAGTTTCTGACCGCATGTGAGAAGATACAGGAGAGAGGAGATTTTGGTTAAAATCTGGTGAAAGCAGTTTGGGATTTTGGCCTTTTATTAAACTGTCGGGTCAAAAAGAAAGGTAACCTGATGAGAGAAAAAAATGTTGTTGGATCAATTTAAGCACTTTTTGCAGCGCCAGAGTCTTGGGCCATGAATCTGGTTCCAGTCCCGTTAGCTTTACACTGGTGTTACTCTGTTGACTCGGTTGGCTTCATTTCTGATTTACATTAGTGTAAGTGAGATCAAAATCACTTTCTTTGCCTTTGGGAAATAGAATAGTCAGGGAAAATAAAAGATTGTACTTGTTAAAACTACTCGGTGGTTTGTTTTTGAATACAAGGGAATGTAACAGGTTTCTGCAGGTGTTTCTGAAGAGTTAGCAGAAAATCCTTTGTCCCAAGCTCAGATGTCTTAATGGAGGTGCGTGGCTCTCGTAGCTGCTGCGGGACATTTAATACGTTCAGAAAGGTGTCTGTTCCCCTGTGAAAGCCAAGCCTGCTTTTACAGCCAGGACCCACAATGCAGTAGGAGAACAGTGCTAATAACCACGGCATCGGGGCTGCAGAAACCTTTTGCACCTCCCCTGGGAAGAAGCAACTTTTTCTTCCTTAAGTGGCCAAAGTGTTACCTTTGGATGATTTCGCTCTTGGGATCCAAATGCTTGCTTGTGCTCATAACCTGTGCTTCCTAATTGTTCTCCAGGCGAGCGAAAGTAGGTTGGTGGGCTGGGTTTGGGTTTGCAATTGTTTCTGGTTTTGTTTTAACATCTGCAGGCTGTAGGTATGCACAGTACTCAAAACAGGGAAAGGATTATTTGATGGGGGCAGTGGGAACAGTGAGGTCTGAGGGAAAACCTCAGGAAGGGTTGTACAAAGACTCCCTAGGACTCCGGGCAGGGCTGGACAGGTTTGGTTATTCTCACCCCATATGCATGGGGAATCTGCCCCTACTCTGCTCTGAACACAAAGGGCTGCGTAATGACAGTCCCTGTCCTGCTGCACCTACAGATCCCTTGGAAATGATTAGCCTGAGAAAAAGGAGTTTTCTCTTACAGAAAATGAAGTGGTCTAGTAAAGTGTTTGCTCTGCACTGGAAGGCTCTAGTCCATGTACAGAATGTCAGCGTATTTGTGTGTCTTTACTTACCTTGACATTGTTAGCTTGCTCCTGATACGTTCAGAGGAAGCAAAGATTCAAAGGTCAGCAATGAGTGGTTTTGAAAAACCAAGTGGTGACTGTATCTCCCACAGATGTGGAGAAAGGAATCAGTTCATGCCATTTTTAAGTACTTCCACATTGTCTTACAGTTTCACAGAATCACAGAATCACAGAATTTCTAGGTTGGAAGAGACCTCAAGATCATCGAGTCCAACCTCTAAGCTTACACTAACAGTCCCCACTAAACCATATCCCTAAGCTCTACATCTAAACGTCTTTTGAAGACTTCCAGGGATGGTGACTCCACCACCTCCCTGGGCAGCCCGTTCCAGTGCCTCACAACCCTTTCAGTAAAGAAATTCTTCCTAATATCCAACCTAAAACTCCCCTGGCGTAACTTTAGCCCATTCCCCCTCGTCCTGTCACCAGGCACATGGGAGAACAGGCCAACCCCCACCTCTCTACAGCCTCCTTTAATGTACTTACACAGAGCAATAAGGTCACCCCTGAGCCTCCTCTTCTCTAGGCTGAACAAGCCCAGCTCCTTCAGCCGCTCCTCATAGGACTTGCTCTCCAGGCCCCTCACCAGCTTCGTCGCCCTTCTTTGGACCCGCTCAAGCACCTCGATGTCCTTCTTGTAGCGAGGGGCCCAAAACTGAACACAGTACTCGAGGTGCGGCCTCACCAGAGCCGAGTACAGGGGGACGATCACCTCCCTAGCCCTGCTGGTCACAGTGTTTCTGATACAAGCCAGGATGCCGTTGGCCTTCTTGGCCACCTGAGCACACTGCTGGCTCGTATTCAGCCGACTGTCCACCATCACTCCCAGGTCCTTCTCTGCCTGGCAGCTCTCCAACCATTCCTCTCCCAGCCTGTAGTTCTGCTTGGGGTTATTGCGCCCCAGGTGCAGGACCCGGCACTTGGCCTTGTTGAACTTAAAACAATGTTTCTTTCATTCATTCTTCTCCCCTTTCTCTAAAAGAATTTTTTCTCCTTTATGAAAACAATTTTGCTGATGTTTAGAATATTTTTTTCAAATGCACATTGATCTCAGACAAAATTTTATGGAATTATTGCTGTAACATTGGCAGCAGAGACGACACAGAGATGTGGGAAAGGGGAAGAGGCACACTGAACGTCCAAACCTGTCCATAGTGAGGACCTTTTATTTGTAACTTGGGACTTGAGTAAAAACGGATTTTTTTTTCAAAGCTCTGGAGTCTTTAGGGGATGGCAACATAAGTAAGCTACTGGTCTGGTAGACATGTGTGTGGATCTGCTGCCCATCGGTAATACTTGTGTGCAGTCTACAACACTAACACCAAGCATCTTACCTCCTCCCAGTTAAGCCAATGGGAAATGAAGTTGCTTGGCACCTGGAAGAATCAAGTCAGTTGGTTTAAATGTCTAATTATTTTAGTTTAGGGGGTTAATAGTTAGTTTTGGTCCCCGATTTTGGCCTAAAAAATCTAGGAGAAATCCTAGATTTTACTGGTAGCAACTACATTTAGAGGCCTTAATATCATTTTTTCTGAAGTATAGCCCCTTTCAGGTCAGAAAAAGACACTCCTGATTCACATAAGTATGAAGACTACAGAGTTCAGCATTTTTTCTCTACCCTATGGATCAGAAAGATGTTCTGTGTCAGAGCAGTAGACTCACGCAGCCATGTGCAAGCTTTGGGTTGCAGAGGAGCTTGTATAGCACACCCCATTGACTATGCAACATACAAACTAGGAGTATTCATTCATATGGTTTCTTGCAAAATTAACTGAAATGCTGCTAGTCATTAGGCTTTGGTTCCTTTTTTTTGTTTTCCCCTGCAATTTCAATCCAGCAGCTGTAGGACTGGAGAAAAGGACTTTGGGGTTTCATCCCTCCTTCCTGTGCTTCACTCTTCTTGCTTCTCCTTACTTTCTTGACCTAAAACTGAGATGTGCCCCATGGTTCTCAGCCCCATAATAGGCTCATCTGCCCATCAAGAAACTGTGAGACTTCTTAATTATTAGCGATATGCTCTGCCTGTGATTAACAGTGGATGTATCTGAGGAAATGGAGAAATATATGGCGGAAATGAGGAAATTTTTCAGCGAGGTCAAAGATATCCAGCATGCTCTGCAGATTGTCTTTCAAGGTTAAATAGTGAGACTGCCTTACGCAGCGTGCACAGACAGTTCTGTAAACCATGGGTCCTATTAAAAAACATTCAAGTGGAACAAACTTACTTTTTCTTGTCACAACAGGCTCGTATTCACATTTCAGCACTGGGAAGAAAAAGATAAAAGATTTAATTCAGCTTTCACCATGCTGGAGATTTTCTCCGGTTCCACCTCTGCCCCTTCCTCTGTCCTCATTCCCAGTGTTTTTGAACTCTGCCTGCAATGCGTTGCAGTGCCTGCCAAGATATCTCTAACTAAGGGTGAGTTAATGAGAACATCTGGCCAGGAATGACTGATGATGCTCTGTGACCCACCCACTCAGCACATCTGGTGGTCACGGCCATGGATGGGGAACCTTACCAAGTGCTGTGTCTTCTGCAAGGAAAGATGTTTTTTGTTGTCGTCTATGGTTGGGCATACTGAAAATGCCCAAATCCTTTTGATTATAGGAAGGGGCTTTCGTGTGAATGGGAGAAATGTCTTTAAATAAGTGTACACACACACACATGCACTCACACATACACTTCTTTATGTAATTACAGTGTACTTTTAATGCGTGAGAATGTGGGCTGCCTAAAAACAGTCTTTATAGATAATTAGTCCCAAAGGTCCTGAACTGGTTAACCATGGAGGCATGCTGCAAAAGACCTCTCTTTGGTAAGGGCTTTTTGAGGGGGCTGAATGTACAGTCTCTCTGAAGGGAGGAAAGGATGAAAAGAGTTTATGTGCTTGGTTGGCAAAGCTCCTTTTTGAAATGATTATTTTAAACCTGTCCTTCTAATGATGAATTAAAATGTCCGGACACTTTTGCAAGCATCTTTTTATGTTATTTATATATAAATCAATAAATACAAATGCTCCACTCTTGTTTTCCTTTGAAATCTTGATAGTTTAGAAAAAAAAAAAAAGATGGAAGATGGATTTTTCAGACAGCAGAATGAATCATCAATGAAGTGAAAACACTGAGCAAATTCTCTTTTGTTTAAGAGAATGGTCTGTACACAGTTCAGGCCAGCACATTTTTCATGGGATGCGAGGGAGCAGTTCAAAGAATTGGCAGGGAGTGGGTCCTGCATATTCATGAGGTTGGGCAAAGAGGTGAAGGTACAGGAGGAGGCAGAAAAGCAATATGAGGATAGAGTGGAATGTGGAGTGAGTTACCACGGTATCCTATTTTACTGCTGTTTGACGTAAAGCTCCTTTGCTTTTACACAACCGCTGGAATTGAATTGAAGCAGCGCAGGGAATAAATAATGAATGTGTCCTTTACATGCTAACAGAGGAGAATCTGCACCTCGTCACAGAGATAATGTGCCCCTCTGTTCTCCCCCCAGTCTCCAGCCTTCGTTCCAGAAGTCAGTCAAGATCTTATCCAACAGACAGAGGAAAAACTCGAAAACAGCCCCTGCAAAGAGCTATTCTCTCACTGTACAAAGTAAGTATAACTTGATATCCGAAGACCACACGGCTGCAGTCAGCAGCTTGTAAAGACAGTGACAGGTAAAAAGAGAAATTGCAATTTGAATCCGAGGCATGTATCTTCAGTTTACGTTCATAATCCTGGAGGCATAACTGACAAGGAGTGAAGTCATTTCATCTGAACGAAATATAATAAATATTTCCATGCCATTATATACACTACACACAAGCACTTAGTGTTTCAGGTATTTGACAGAGTGTTCTAGCCAAGTAAACCAGCCATGGATTTCATGCCGTGTGAAAAGAGCTACAATGCTAATGTATCCAAAGAAAACATCTCTGTTTCAAAATGAATAAAAATTAAGTGGCTATACAGTCCATTTAGACAGAGGAATGTGCAAACTTGCTCTGCATGGCTTTTCCAGAAAATCTTCAGCAGGAGAATGGAGCTTTTTTAATGCTTTACTGTCTGTCTGTGGAGTTCAAACGTACGTGCATTATTTCATCCTTTGTCTGGGAAAAGGCTTATCAGGTTTTGTAGCGGCGAGGCGATTTGTACTATTATGTTCTAAAGCTCCAGGTATGCGCTCTGCATTTGCAAGTACTGACCCGAGTATGTTCACGCCAGTAGATCATAAACCAACAAAAATATGAAAAGGAGGGATCATCACAAGCTGGCCCATGTGGTTTCTGGCTGAGCACAGTTTGTTTTCCCTGGGTGATGTAATGGGGATTTGTAAAATTCGCTCCGCTGTCATTCATTGTTTTGACTCATTTCATTGACCTTTTCTGTTTTCAGTTATTCTTTGCGTTGGTAGGAGATGTGGGTTATTTCTGGCCTTCTCTTATAACATAGCTAGTTTACTTGCATTGGCCCGGTGTCATGTTGAGATGCTAGTATAACTTGCACCAGTTGTGTGTGCCAGTCACAATGACAAAGGCAGAGCTGTGCTTGACATAAAAAACCCTGATGTCTGTTTCCATTTCTGAAATCGATTTGAAAGCTGACAGTTTACTGTAAAATGCACTTTGTTGTTGCCAAGGAGGGGAACTAAAAAGCAAACAAGTGGTGAAAGGCAGCTATTGTTCTTTAAAGTACGTGAAGCTTTTAATTAACTGAAAGAAATAGGCTAGCGTTGGACACCACTTAATTCAGGCTCTTGTTCACAGACAGCCATTCCTTCTTCTCAAATGAAACAGATAAATTAGCCAGTTTTGAGACCTTGTTCATAAATATGCTGATGATCGTTTTAGGTGGACTGAAATGGGGTCAAAGAGAAGTTTTAAAGACTTGCTGTTGGTACTTACTAAATGTACTGAATAATGTTAATTTTGGAAGTGTTCACAGCCAGACCAAAAAAGGGAGCATGCACATAAATTTGAAACTTTCTATCCTGTTGGAGCAGGAGCAGGGATGAGTTTCAGACAAGTCCTTCTAGTTAAGATCAGTCTGCAGAAGAAATGTATGTATAACTGTATCTGCTGCTTTGACCTTTAATATTTTGACTGTCTTCCCCTGCCTCCCTCCAATTTCCCCTATAATTTTCAGTTTGATTTTGGATATTTGGCAAAACTCATTAAGGAAGACTTTTCCTTTAAAAATAAAAATTAAAAAAAAAAAAGTTCACTTAAGGGAAATATTTCATCTCCTTAAAACAAATACTGTATGATCTGTGTCCAATCAGAAGTTGGACACAGCCAATGGAAACAGCAGCAATTTGTCTTTTGAATATGGAATATTTGCAATTACCTGCCTGTTCCTAATGTGTGGTGCAAGAATTATTATTAAAAAATAAATAAATAAATCCAAAAACATAGGAATAGTCGTTCATGAATGGAGAGGAACTGAACTGAGAAGACTCATTATTCTTCCTGAATGTTTGCTCATGTCTAGAACCACCCCAGGATGAGCCTCAGTTCATCTGTTCCCAAACCAGAGTCATTTTTCAGATTATTTCCTCCTCCAGCAAAATCTAGAAAAGTGTCTATTTACTCTTATATATAGACACTCCAGACAGCAGAGCCCCAGTAAACAAGGTAGGACCCCAAACCAGCAGGTCAATAGTCCCCTGTTAAGCATCATGACCACTTCCATCTCAGGCAGCTCTCAGTTCAGCCTCTGTTTTCTTATCTCTGAACACTTGGCCCTCCTCAGGGGAGGTCTATTGGTCTCTGGCTGCTTGTTGCCTGTCACAAGCAACATACTTATCTGTCACAGTTACATACTGGCCTTTGTGGGAATAGAAATGTTGTTTTTGCAGAGTTACATTGTTTAGAAGGAGGGAATGTGGTACTGAGATATGCTTACAGTGATAAGAAAGTTTAGCAGGCGACCTAGTAAAATGCAGACAACCAGTCTCCTTAGGACAATTAGGTGAAAATCACGGTGTCAAGTCAAGTCAGATAAGTGAAGAAACATTACCACTTCAAACAGTAAAAATGTCAAAAGAAATTTGAAATTTAACAGGCCGGCAACTGAAGGCCATGCATTGTTTGTGAAGCATCAGATAGATTGTGAACCTGGATTACCCACTCAGTGGGGAAACAGGGGAGGGTCCTGCCATCAAAAGGTATATAAACTGTGTTTTGGAACTAGTAGATGCGCTCTCTCCTGCTTGTGGGGCGCCCGCCATTGCAATCGCGAATAAATTACTACTTCACTGAGATCCTCGCCTGAGCCTAAGTTATTGGCTACGGAGTGTTTCTCACAATTTGGGGGCTCGTCCGGGATCCAGTCACCTACTGGGGAGCCCCACCGCCGCAGCAGCAGGAAGGCATGCCCCGCTGATTTCAGCGGTCCTGTGCATCGACGGTGGCGGTTCTGCGGAAAGCTGACAGAGGGCCCGAGACTGGTTAAAGAGGCAGGATCCGTGAAGTAGTGGGGAAAGGAAGAAGGTAGGCACTCCGGGTTTTTAAGAATCGATCCGGTAACTCTGTGCACAGACCAAGGTAAGAAATATTAAGTATTGCCTTGGGGGTCGGGTATCTGGTGTATGGTAAGCCCTTGCACGGGGAAGTGCTGGCACTACACCAGGGGAATCTGGTGTACGGTAATCCTTGCACGGGGAAGTGCTTGGAAGTACACCAGGGAATCTGGTAAACTCAGGTGTGCGGTAACGCTGGCACGGGGAAGTGCTTGGCGGTACACCCCCATCTTTCAGTACGTTGGTGTGTGGTACACTGCAGAAGGGAAAATTCTGTAGCACATACTGGCGAGGGTTAGGAAAGATGGGAAGCACGAGTTCCAGGGAATCTGGTAAACTCATAGGTGTGCGGTAACGCTGGCACGGGGAAGTGCTCGGCGGTACACCCCCATTTTTCAGTACGTTGGTGTGTGGTACACTGCAGAAGGGAAATTTCTGTAGCACATACTGGCGAGGGTTAGGAAAAATGGGAAAATATGAGTTCCAGGGGACAGGGAGATATCCCTGGGGGAGTGCCTACTAATAGTTCTTCCTGAAGAATTATAAGAAATTGGAAACATAATCCCAAAATTAGAGGGGTTGTAAAAGTGTAAAAGAAAAATAATTTTTTTTTTTAAAAAAAAGGTTAAATATTGTGTATCAGTCTGGACAAAAGAACCAATTAAGGAAACAGCAGTATTTTGGCCAAAATACGGGTCTGATGAAAATTCAGGCTTTAAATTTATGTGTAAACAAGAAGATTCCTTTTTCAGAGAAGGAGCCAAGTTATGCTCCCTATAATCTTAATATTGAACTGGTGACAGCAGCAGTCACTCCAGGAAGGGAGACAGGGGCTGTAATTAACACTGTCCCTAAAGAAGGATTGTACTCTAGGTTCTGGCAAGAATTAGAACAAGGTAGAAGAGATATTGAGAATTTTGCCTTCCCTGATACTAACAGTACTAACAATAACTGTGTATCCTCTTAGGTGAACTACCCCCCCCCCCTCCTTACCAGCAGAGAGGTTAGAACTTTTAAGAAGGAGAGGAAGTCTTTATTCAAGGACCCCAACAGCCTAGTTGAACAATTAGACCAGTTCCTACGACCTGACTTATACTCTTGGGGGAGGGAATTATGTCTATAAGTATGTTGTTTACAGGGAAAGAAATGGGAATGATCAGGAGGAGAGCTGCTATACAAGAATGGGAAAGAGCTCATCCTCCAGGACCAGGGGTAATACCGGCAGGGCAGAAATACCCACTTGCCAATCCTGGCTGGAATAATAATAGTGTGCAACACAGAAATCATATGAGAGACTTGGGGTCAGAATGAGAAAGTACTTGGGGATGAGACCTGAGGACCCAGTATCCCAAGGGCTCTTGAAAGTTCATTGTGTGATTAAAGCCTGGCAAAATATGCAGAAAATGCTTCAGAAGGTGGGGGGATGTAGTGAACTCCTGCGGGAGGCCCTGGAGGTGTGTGTCCGGAGGGGAGATAAGAAGGAAAAAAAAAAAAAAAAAAAAAAAAAAAAAGGAGAGCGAAACAATGGTATTGACAGTGCAGCGGGTAGTGAGGCAGAGCGTTGGAGAAAGAGGAAGAAAATCTTCAGGGGGAGTCAGGGCCAGGATGGAAAGGAGAGGAAGAGAGATGAAGGAATGGCAGGCAAAGAAGGCTGCCTGTGTTGTGGCCTGAGTCCTAGCAGAGACAGGCTTTGATAAGATGTTTTAAGTGTGGCCAGGCTGGCCACTTCGAATAGGAATATCTGGAGTGGAAGAAGGAAGAAAGAAGGAAAATTGGATGAAATACGCTATATTGATATGTTGTTTATCTTGGAGGGAAAAGGTATGGAATTAAGTTGGACCCTGACTGAGCCTTTGGTGCTGGTATTAGAAAAGTACAGGCTGGAGAAAGATAAAGGAAGTGTTAAAAGGGTTGCTGAAGGTGTTAAAGGTGTGGCATGTAGTACTTAACAGAGCTGTTTGAAGTTGAATGAGCAGGGAAAGGTGATGTAGGCATTATCTAAGTAACAGTCTAGAAGTTTTGGTATATTTGCTGTGGTGTTTGTTCAGTTTCCCAAGCATCGGGGAGGGGGGAACAGCCTGCTCCACCAGGG